AAAAAAAAAAAAAAAAAAAAAAAAGACAAACACATCCAAATCCAAATCCAAATCCCCCATGGATGGATGGATGGATTGATTGATTGACCTCCAAAAACAAAAACAAAAACACAAAACAAAAAAACAAAAACAAAAAAAATCCTGGTTTTAGTTGGTTTCTCTGCTTTTGTGCAGTTCCCATGGAGAAAGTTCTGCATTTTTTTTACTTCTTCTAACGTGTTCATCTTGATTATCAGGCGCAGGCATGCCTGAGTTTTTCATGTTTGTGTATGACTCTGTAATTGGCTGTTCTTTTCTTGCCTTTTTTTTTTTTTTTTTGTTTTGTTTGGCTTAGTGATGGGGTGGTTGTGCATAGAAAACTACTTACTGACTGCTCACCAGGCTTGTTCAAAGGGAGAGGAAAGCGCAGAGAGAGAGAGAGAGAGAGAGAGAGAGAGCGTAGAGAATGTTATGATTCTGTGAACTGTGATGATGATCCATTTCCCCCATAATGAAATGATAAACATTTAGCCCCCTACTGGCTCTGCTATTATTCTCTGTTCTACTTCTTCTCTATCTGTGTTGTCAAAACATTGAGACACCCACACGATGGAGCCAAGAATGGTAGCTTAGGAACTCAAATTGATTGATTGATGATGGGTTGGAACAACGTGGCGTTCAATTTGATAAGATTGGATAATAACAACATGTCCAAAGTAATAGCACATGTGGAGGCTGCCTGGTTATGGAAGTCTTTAAAGATATTTCAACGCTCTCTTCCATTTGGATGGATTGGGTTGGCACTTGTGTTTCTAATTAAGTAGGATAGGCTTTTGAGTTATTTATCATCCTTAGTTGGAATTCATTTTTTAAGAGTCCATGATTATTACAATTTTGGGTAGCCCCGTCATATATTTAATTCCAGATATGTTTGCAAGTGAGATAATTGTCTCTTCAACATAGCGGCATCCCTTTTTGGAAGACGGTTGAGCCGCGGTCTTTTGTTCCATTCTCAAGTCCCTCAACTTATGAATATAATCTCCTTCTTGGGTCCCATTTATTTAACAGAGAGGAGCATCTCTGACCCCATTTGTTCAACAGAGAAATCTCTCCCAACTCCTTTCTCATTTTATGTGCTAAATGAACATTTCTAATAGAACTTGTCTTAAAGTTGTCTCAAAGTTGATGCAGGACAAGTACAGATCACGTGCATTAAAGAATTTTTTTTAATAATGACAAAAACTGAAATATATTCTATTAAGAAATTAAAAAGTGGGAATGAAAAATCCATTTTCAAATAGGTGGGATAAGAGTAATCATATAAGAATTATTAATTAATAGGCCTTATAATCAAGTTCAACAATTAATTTATTTAGTCTCTCTAAAGTGTAAATAATGGATATGGTTGATGACATCTCATTCTAATCCATAGGAATAGTAATATCTCGGATCCCCATGTTTCTAAATTTCCCGTTTTTGAAATGTTACCTCACTGATGATTAAGAAAGTGAGCATAACACATAACCTTAACCCGATCCCGAATAAGAACTTTATGTCCACTTTATAAGTATGAACCTAGAGAAAAATGAAACAATCGTACATTTAGAGAGTCATATCACACCAGGAAACCATAAAATTAAACTTCCCATAATTATTTATTGACTTTGGTGTCCCTATACCCACGAACATCACTACTTCCAACACATGGGGCTCTCAATTGTATTTACAAATAATAATAATAATTTTTATAAGAATGAGAAAATAATTCTTTTTTAAAAAAAATGTTACCCTTAGCACCCTTAGCGATTATAAAAAAGTTTAAAAAAGTTTTAGTTTCAATATATAAATGGAAACGGTTTATCGACACATTATAGATTATTTTCAAACTTTCTAATGTTACTTTTGAAAATTCATGAGCATTTTTTTAAACTTTTAAAATCTCAAGAGTATTTTTAAAATAGCGTATTAATAAAGTTTAGATTTTTTTAATAAAAACTTAAAAGTATTTTTATTAATTTAGCCCTATTAATTAGTATTATTGAATTAATTTAAAAATATTTATTTTTTTTTTAATTTAAGTTTGAGACTTTTCCCATTTATAACTATTTTTTCTTTCTTGAAAATGAGAAAAATAGATGCATAAGTAAATGGGCCTTACAAACTCAAGCTTGCAGATCTGCCAAAGCTTACGGCCCAAACTCCGAAAAATAGAAAAATTAAATTTGGGATAAGGGCTAATTTCTAATTAAAATATTTTTTATTGGATAAATAGCAGAAAATTGACAGATTAAAAGAAAAATTAATTAAAACACCCCTCTACCAAATCAAACAAATAAAATTCTAAAAATGGGATCAAACCACCCTAGATGTGTTTTAACACCATAAATTGAACGTAAGACTTTATAAGATACTCGAGTAAAAAAGAGGTACATGGATAAATCGATACCACATCCGAATGAGAGCGATTTTGAAGATAGGATGACTAAGAAACACATAAAAGAACGGAAAGTATTATCTATACCAACAAAATGCACTTTTCTTTTTGGTGACTCAATCCTAAGAAATTCATAGTTAAATATGTTTTGCTTGAGCAGTTCTATGAGATCCTATATTATTTAAAGAGGGGAACGAAGCATTTCTTATAAGGGTGTGGCTCCGTAGTAGACACGTTTTAAAACCCAGAAGGGAAAATTCAAAGAGGACAATATCTACTAGTAGTGGGCTTGAGTTGTTACAAACTCTATGTTGGGCGACTTCCTAAGATTTTTTTTAAAACCTTGAGTGGAAGCCCAATAAGAGAAGCCCCATAGGGAAAGCCCAAAGAGGAAAATATCAGAAGGCGAGGCCAAAGATGATAATATCGAAACGTCAGAAAGGAAAGCTTAAAGAGTACAATATCTACTATTAGTAAGCTTACGCCGTTACAAATTGTATGTTGGATGAGCTCCTACGTAAAGATAAAACATATTAAAAAGTGTAGTATGTTTTTACATTGGATGACCTAAAAATTTTCTCTCGAAATCCACATGGATATTTTGTGTCCTTGAAGGCAAGTAGCAATTAAGCATGAAATGATAGAAGCTAAAGGAAAATGAACCCAACTTTCCCAAGATAGCTATGATTATGAGCACTTTTCCAATTTTCTGATGCACATTATTTTATTCTGACTATATGTAAATATATTTTAATGCACAAAATAATGGGACTTTTGAACTTTGGTATGAATATAATTGAGTTGGGATGTGACAGCAGTTGAAATATTAATGTTGGTAACTTTTAAACAATAACATTGCTGCTACCAATTGAAAATGTTGTCCCTTCATCACCACGATGTTTATATTATAAGGTATTGAAAAATACGAACAAATCTCTCGTCATGTGCTTTCGGTGCCGAGTAGTCGACGTCCTTAAAAGCCAGACTTTAAAAAGAAGTCTCCACGAATCTTTTCTATACATAACCTTATTGTATCGTTTTATCATACTATTATAACAATATCGTTTTCTATACCTAACTTTTTATTGCAATTTCAGGTCATGACACATTTATAGGGTAATAACTTTAAGATCGTTACATACTACTTCTAAGTTTGATTATGAGGTGACAATACATTTAAATCAATTAGAGCTTGACATGAAATAACAAACCATAGCATGTCAAATCAAAACCTAATTTTTTTGTATCGTCTTTTCTGTAATAACAAGTTAATTATACGTTATTATCTCTACAACAATTATTAAAACTATACTAAATAATAATAATATTTTTATTTAAGGAAATTTTTAATAAAAAAAATAATAATTTTTTTTAATAATCCAACTAAAGGTGTCTAAAAAAATAAAATTTATGATATAGATTAGGTTTATTATTTAATAAAAATTATTTTAGTTAAAAATTTTAAGATCGGAACAATTGAATTAGGTAAAAAAAATATCTCAACTGAACTTAACCCAACTCATAAATATCGTAGTTTTATTCATGTTTCATTCTGACAATTAAGAGGATATTAACCGAAAACATATATTTTAGTATATAAATTTAATTTTCTCTGATATGATAAAGCAAATAATTTTATGCATATTTAATAATTATTTTAATAGATTGTAAAATTTAATTATTTTTGTAAATTAGATTAGTGGCCACCATTATCTTATGAGCAAGCAAAAATGTATAAAATTCAAAGGATATTGTTGTAATTTAACTTCTTATTTATTTATTAACAGAATATTGCAACTTAAAATGCTTTTAAAACAACTTCTAGAAACTTGGTAGTTGAAATTGAATAAAACAACAAAGCTTATACCAAACCAACCTACCTTTATCACAAACTGATTTTAATAATAATAATAACAAATAAATAAATAAATAAATTCAAATATTATTTTCATATGTTTAGAAAATTTTGTTTATATATAATCTATAAAATTATTATAAATAACATCCTCTATGCTTTCTAAATTTTATTATTCATTTTTGTAAAAATATATATATTTTTTTTTTGAAGAATTTAAACGTTCAAGTGTGACGCTCAAGTAAAAGAAAGGTACTATGTTCGAACGAGAGTGAACTTAAAGATAGTTGGGTTTCATGAAAATTCGGAAATTAACGTGCTTAGCTCAGAATAAATCATCTTGAAAAGATCGTATCCGTCGTGGTTATATCATAGAGAAATGTCGATGCGAACAAGTTTCGTACTTAGATTTCAAATCATCATTTGAATTTTGAACGGAACTAATTTTAAATTTAAAGATATAATTTTATAAAAACAATAGAATTGAAAATTACACCAAATTGCAAAGTGACAACTACCCCAATCAGTTATCACTATCAGTCAGCAGCCAAAAGTCGAAATTTTTAATTGGTTAGTTCATAAAGAATTTGATATATGGATATTTATTTCCTTTTATAAATATATATTTTTTATATTAGTCAGACTGCTAGTTATTTTTATATTATCCTTAATTTATATTTTTTTTTGTATTTAATAATTTTATTTTTTTATTTTTATCATTTAATTTATATTAATTTGATAGGTTGAACTTATCCCGAGTTGAGATGACCATAGAGATGACAAAATAGTGATGGAGATGAGGTGCTTGCCTTCTATTTCAATCTCCCTTTATGAATATATATATATATATCTCGTCCGAAACAAAATAAAAAAGTAGAGATCAAAAGTGATATAAATCACGACCAAGGAATTTTCATACCTCAAACTCCAATTACAAGGACGAGAGTCAAGAACTACAATAGACCTTATACACTTATATTCAAGTTATGGTGAACTCATCAAAAGAAATTCTAGAAAACGTTGGAAACCTCCTTTATATGTTGTGCAAAGTTAAGCGGCACGAAATAGATAAATTAAATGCATTTAATGAACTCAGTTGAATTTATGAAACTAGTCCCAATGATGATTAATAAGCACATCTCATCCATTCTACTATTCAATTATAATTTAACTATTTGTTTAGCTAGTTTTAAATATAGGACTTAAAGTTATATATGGCAACCCACTTTGTTTATCATATTCCACTATTAACCGGCCATCTACAATATAAAGCTTTTGATTAGAGATATCAGATTTTGTAATTAAGAGTAAAATTTCTATTTTAGGTTGGTTGAAAATTAAGTTTTTCTTTGCAAATTATTGTGTTTAGAACTTTAGAGTAATTCGAGTGGCATTGATCAAACTTTTTGTCGAGTGATTTGAATCACGAGTTTAGAAACGAAATTTTTTACTCTTGATCTTAATCATCAAAGCAATCCGTTCCATACTTTCCGTGAATTTCCATATCAAAAAGTTAAAATTTAAAATTAACAGGTAAAATGATTACCTTTTATTAAAAAAAAAAATAACAATAATACATCATTGATGAACTTACATGTGATAACTTGAATCATAACCAAATGAAAGGAAATAGAGTGATGATATGAAATCATCTAAATTTGAACAAAATTTGCAGAAAGTTCAAACTTATTATTAGTGGGATAAGTCGGAAACAACAAGATTCAGGATGGATAAGCTTCAATAATGGAAGTTAAAGCAGGAAGAGCAATAACTCTGTATCGGGGAAACCCAGCTTCTTCCAATATGTTCTTCCACTCCTTCTCTGTCCTCTCTCTTCCATTGGTATGCGCCAACATTAACAGATCAAAATAGAATCGAGTATCATCAAATGGGCCATCTCCATCCGCCTTCAAAATCACTTCTACTAGAATCACTTTCCCTGTTTTCTCCGGTATCGCTTTCTTGCAGTTCTCAAGAATCCTCACGCACTCCTTGTCATCCCAATCGTGCAATATCCACTGTAATCACCCATTTCAACACAAATTACACCAAAAAAATTCGAACTTTAGGAAGCAATCAAATCAATCACCTTCATAAACACGGCATCGGCCTTGGGAATGGCTTCGAACATGTCCCCTCCGATGTGGGTCACTCCTTGATACGGCGGAGCTGTGCTGATTACGTGCGGCAGGTCGTAGTTGATGCCCTTGATGTGGGGGAATGCTTTGACGATTTCTGAGATGACGCCGCCGATTCCACCGCCGACGTCGGTTAGTGACTCAATCGAGCTGAACCCATCTTGGTAAACGGAGAGAACCGCTTTCATGATGACTTTGGAAGTGGAAGCCATGGCGTTGTTGAACAATTGGTTGAATTGGGGGTTTCTGGAAGCGAAGCTCCAAATGTCAAGGCCGTTGGCCTTTTGGAATTGGTCGCCGCCTTCTTTAACGCCTTGGGAGAAACAGAGCCATGGGTCGACCATCCATTTGTGAAGCTCCGCTAGCACCATCGGAGCGAGGGTGTGCTCGGCGTCACGAAGGAGCCATTTGGAGGAGTGGGTGAGTCCATAAAGTGGCTCTCCGCCGTCTGGTGAGTGATGAACGGCGAAGATGTTCCGACGGACCAACAGTCTCATGATGCGGGTGAGGTAGGAGATCTCCGGGGTGGCTAAGGGATCGGAGGCGACAATGGAGGAAGCAATTTGAGATAGCGATAGGGGAGAGGCATGAGAGTTGATGATATCAGCTAAGTGAAGCTCGACGGCGCATTTTAAGGCCATTGAATCAGCAAAACAGAGCATATATTTCCATATCTCTGCTTGGCCTTTAAGCAGCTCCTCTGTTTCCTCTGTTTCTTTGGTTGCCATCTCTCTCTGTGTCTCTCCGTTTCAATCTCTCTGGTTTTATTTTGTTTTAGAGAGAGAGAGTTGAGAATTATAAAATGGGGTTGGTGTAATGGGGGTGACATTCACAAAGGGTGACAATATTTATAATGATTTGTATTGGTTGCTTTTTCAAAGGTCTTATCTTGCCTTTTTCTGTCCATAACCAAAGGGTATTTATGTCATTTCACTTTTCATATTTATACACAACTATATAATGTATTTTAGTAAATGCTATAATTTTATTTTTGACTTTCATTTAAATCATGTTAACTCTCAGTGGAGTCAGCTTCCCACCCATGAAATTGCGGCCTTATGATCGGTGAAACATTTAGAACACCGTAATCCTTATTTCAAAAGTTACTCTAATATAACATTCAAAAAATAATAATAATAATAATCCCTCCTAAAAGAAAGCAGAGAGAGAAGTATTAAGTTGAGAAGTAAAAGATAAGTTAGAGAGATATAAGAGATTATAAGCTGGTAGATCTTCTATTCTGTGAACATCATCCAGAGATAGCTCTCTTTCCAGCTGCGCTCTGGTTTCTTGCAGCACCTCCTGATAGTTGCAACAATCAACAACTTCCAACACTTAGCGAATTCTTGATGGATTCAAGTTTTAGGGGAGAGAGAGGAGGAGCATACATTGAACTCCATATACGAAGCATGCATGGCAACCCACTGAGCATCCATCATTTTGAACGCTACGCAATATAGTATGTCGAATGCTTCTTCGTTTTCTGTCACGACCAAACGAAACGAAACGAAACGAAACGAAACCGAGTACAAGTTTAGCCATGAAAATATGTGTAAGAATCAATATGAAACAAACCCAGTACCTCCTAATAGTCTCACAAAATTGAGTCCTGGAAGGCACCTTGGTCTTTCTGTAAGGAATACAAGAGATGACAAGATTCAATTAGTTATTAGAACCAATTTCGAAATCTAGTAAATATCGTATGTTTTAACCCATTAACCCATTTGTCCGGAAGAACAAGGGAGAGTACTCACCACTACCAGATATTGTTGTTCTAACCCATTATGTATCACCGAAACTTTATAAGGAATGTTTCATTTCTCTCTTCAACTGATGTGAGATCTCACAATCCACTCCCTTGGAGTCCCAGTGTCCTCGCTGGCACACCATCTGTTTAACTTTGATATCATTTGTAACAGCCAGAGCCCACCGCTAGTTATGTATCACTGTCAGCCTCATAGTTCTAAAACGCATCTTCTAGAGAGAGGTTTCTACATCCTTATAAAGAATGTTTCGTTCTCCTCTTCAACCGATGTGGAATCTCACAATGTTGCTGGGAGGGGAATAGATTACACCGGCTATTTTCTAATATCTATGCCCCATCAAGAATTTGTGACCGAGAGCCCATCTCTAGTTGGCCTAAGGAAACCTTAACACATCTCCATTACCTTTTGGAAGGCCTATACCCCATAAAAATTGTTTATCGAGGCAATTGTATCGACTTCGATACGTATGCTATTCAGGCATTTGAACTTGCTTCAATCTCATCCAGACAGATCGAAGTGAGATGAAGAACAATATGGGTACGCATATTGGCCCAATGTTAGTTAGGGGTCAAGAATGTTGTATTGCTTTCTTTTGGGAGGAGGATAGCATCATGGTATCAATTCCCAGTTAAGCCTCTAATTGCTTCATCTAGAAAAGCAGAGCTCCAAACAAATAGGAGCGTTCAGTAGAAAACCTCAGACACACACCTGAGTTTAAATCCAACATTTGTATCAACATAAATGAAATGTTTATGCCAGCAACAGCAAACGGATATTCCCAAGTTGCTCGATTACCACCTTCCTTCAATAATAACCTACGAAAAGATGCCTTCATTTTTTGAATTTGTATGTGATTAGTGATAATTCAGGCATTAGGGAAATGAGACACAGAAAAACAGCAGGATACGACATACCGGAAACGTCCTGGAGAAAAACAGCAAATTTTCGAGCGAAATGAAACCGCAACCCCTAAGAAATCAGCTCACTGTGAGAAAAAAATGAACTTTAAATATGAAAAATAAAGTATTCATACAACATATGAACATACTAATATGAGATGTTGGTTTGGAGTGTACCTAAAGTCAGTGGATGGATTAGGTCCTTGCCAACCCATTTCTTTCCATTGCTCAGATACCATCCCTTTAAGCCCAATATTTGGAAAGGCAGCATCCCACAATGCTTTCAGAGCTTCCTGTCATCAATCAACGATTATTACCAAGACTAACAAGAACTCATCTCACAGCTGTTGAAAGTTAAAACCAGAAAAATACTTGATGTTCAAGTTGTTTCTCATCAAAAGGTATGGGAATACGGTCTTGTAGCCTTTGAAACCTTTCCTCCTGTTTGCATAAATCCCGTGTTAGAACAAGCGATTAGAAGAATAGTTCTATATAAAACTGCATTTAATCTAACTTTTAGAAGGTCTCTTCCAATAAAAAGGGGATCACAAGTTTTAAATTAATAACAGAGAAACCAATCATCCATCCATTTTGTGGGATCTCACAGTTGATTAGGGAGGAGAATGAAACATTCTTTATAAGGGTGTGGAAACCTTTCTCTAGCCGACGCGTTTTAAAATCCTTAAGGGAAAGCTCTAAACGGAAAGCTTAAAGAGGACAATATCTGCTAGCAGTGGGCTTGGGCCGTTACAAATGATATTAGAACCAGACACCGGACGATGTACCAGCGAGAAGGCCGAGCCTTGAAGAGGGTGGACACGAGGTGATGTGCTAGCAAGGATGCTGGGCCCTGAAGAGGGGTGGATTGGGGGTCCCACATCGATTAAAGAAGGGAACGAGTGTCAAATGACGCTAGGCCTCGAAGGGGGTGGATTGTGAGAACTCATGTCGGATGGGAAGGAGAACGTAACATTCATTATAAGGTTGTGGAAACCTTTCTCTAGCAGACGCATTTTAAAAACCTTAAGGGGATACCCGAAAGGGAAAGCACAAAGTGGACAATATCTGCTAGCGGAGGGCTTGGGCAGTTACACATATGGACATTCTCGAGAACACAAAGATCTATTGTTCTTTTCTTCAAACCTATAACCTCTTAGAGGGAGTAAAGATGCTCTCATCACTCAGCTATGCTCATGTTGGCAGGAACACAAGGATCTATTACAAACCAATGGCCTTTCCAAGACAAAAGCTACTCAAGAGGTAAAGCTTCCCTCACACTTACAAACCAACGTTTAGCCCATTCTACGAGTGATGTAGAATAGTACAACACAAAAAAACATGATAAATAACACAACATCAAGTCAATTACAATACCCATAGACCTTCCAACACTATTTTTACCTGAAGAGGACTCAACGGGTACTGAAGATCACTCTTTCTGTTGCCTGAGCGATTGAAAAGTCCTCCAATCCATGTTCGTGGTCCAACCATAGCATTAGCTACATTTACCACAAGCTAATTTGTAAACAACAGGGTGACACTGAGACATGGCGAGCATATAAAAGCACGTGTGAATTCCACAAAATCATAATTCTACAGCTTCATCTCAAAAACATAAAAAAAAAAAAAAAAAAAAAAAAAAAAAAAAAAAAAAAAAAAAAAAAAAAAAAAAAAAAAAAAAAAAAAAAAACAGTGCTCTATACTCACTAATACATTGAGCTAGCTGTAATATTACAGGGGTGGAACGATGTGACCATTCTAACTCTTCGTCACCCCTTCTCTGTCTCCAATATATTTCATCTTCATCAGCCTACAATAATTTTCCACAATTAACTGTCATAAAAACATCAGTGCCTAAGACTGTCAAAAACAAGAACACAATCATCGGATCTTCAAACAGTAGTTCCTGTTTTCAGACAAGGAAAACGACACGTCCAGCAAATTGGGAATGATCAATACATTGAATTTTAGTTTCAATCTACAAACAAATGATAAAGGGAGGTGAACACAGAGAAATTGATGGGTGGATTACTTCATGGAGGGAAGAGCAAGATGGAAAGCATTGCCTTCTCCTCCTGAATCTCATTAAGAAACCAATTTTCCTCCCAAAATGAAGAACAAAAGCAAAACCCATGTATAAATATAAACATAGGAGGAGAAGCTAAGAAGAGCGAGACATTTGAAAGAGAAGAAAATGAAAAGATTACAAGCGCAATTAAAGGGATCCTTTAGGCATAAGTTTATAATGTAAAAAAGCAGAGGAACATCATGAGCATTGAAAAAATGGGAAAAGGTAGAACTAGATGTCTCTTCAATGAGTAGCATTATTAGAATTAGAAAGCAACACAAAAAAACGAAAACCCGACAAAAGGCAGCAAGAAAGAAAGCAATGGGGGGAAGAAGAACAGTACTCGCTATGGCATCTGAGGGAACAAGTGGGCGGTGCAGAGAGGTGGTGGAGGCGGCGGTGGTAACCTTGACCGTCCTGGTATGTGGGTTCGGGCGGTGGGCACCACGGGAAGAAGGGGATTGTAGGGGAAACAATAGGAACCAGAGAAGAAGAGGAAGAAGATTGGATTTGGGGGAAGAAAATGAGTGACATTGAAACCAATCAAGCTCCTATCAAATTGCCTATTCCGTAGCACTCGGGGTTTTTCTTTCTTCTTCGTGTCTCTCGCCGCCCCCTCCTTTGGAAGTTCATGTGTTGTATGAATTATTATGGTAATTCATTTTCTTATTTGGTACGTTGCATACATCAAAAAGTTGGGTCCTGACATAAACTATAACAATGTTCATATTGGCTTATTAATTATGAATCTCAAAATTCTTATATTTTAGGATAAGTTTCAAGTTCATTCATTTACTTTCTTTTTAGTTTTTAAATTTAATGGAAGAAAAATTATGTAATGCATGCATAAGAATTTAGGATTTGAATTTGACATTTGATGACCATAATATTCTTATGTGATGCTTTGAGATCCTAAATCAGTTGGAGAGTGGAACAAATCATTATTGTATAGAAACCTCTCCATACTAGACACGTTTTAAAAATGTGAGGCTGACGGCGATACATAATGAGCAAAAGTGTACAATATATGCTAGTAGTGAGTTTGAGTTGTTAGTACCGAAGTCTGACACCGGAGGGTGTGTCAGTGAGGAAGCTAGCCTCCAAAGGAAGTGGATTGTGAGATCCCACGTCAGATGGAGCTAGCGAGGACGTTGAGCCCCCAAAGAAGTGGATTGGTTGGAGAGGAAAACAAATTATTTCTTATAACAGTATGAAAACTTGTCCTTAGTAAACGCGTGGCAATATCTGTTAGTGGTGGAGTACAAACTAACCCGGAAAGGAAGATGAACCCCAAGAAAACATGCATTTCTAGTACTAAAAAAAACTCTTACAAGATGGCTGATAATAACAAGAAGAAAACCCAAGACCGATCCTAAAATGAAGCTGTGAGAGAAAAGGCATTATTAATATATGATACACACAGCCCAAAGATAGCTAGAAATCTGATAAAATCAAGGAACAGGGAAGGACTTGTGGCTGCACATGCACTTGTAAGCCAAGGGACAAGTCTCCGAGTCTTCAACCGAAGAACAAAAGAATCTAACCATCACAAGCCTGCATGGCGAGCACGACCCACAAGCGTGAGAACAATCTGGTAACCTCGACCCTGCAACTTCCACCGTCTCGCCCCTCACTCGCTTTGAACTATTATCTGCATAACCAAAAAAGTGACTTTTTCAATAATGGGCACCAAATGAATCTACTTTTATCATCTGGGTTTGTTTAAAAATGTGATCTTTGTATTGGGTTTGAGCTAGATTCTTACGAGACGGGAGGTGTCTGGCGGGCATGGCTGTGGGAACTTGAAGGAGGACAACGAGAAGAACAGCGACGACCAGAATTGAAGCCTTTGTGGGTGTCATTGTTTCTTTCAATTTTGGTTAGAAAGTTGGTGAAATTGAGAGGATGAAGCAAAAGGGCATATAAAGGGCAGCTCATATTGAAGCGAATCACAGGAAAGATGGTGGGAACTGGGTTTTGTTCATTAGAGACTCACATGAAGAAAAAGAAGGGTTTAGGGTTTGATTGCGAAACTCGAATTTCATGTGGTTGGATGAGACTGTGTTGATGTTGATGAAAGAGTGCATAAAAACTGCTCCATTTACGTGAAATTGGGTGCAAGTTCTTGGCTTTGGGTGTCTGTGGGCATTAATGGAGTGGGGGTCTTCTAAATTTTGTCACATCGTTCAAGGTTGTGTTGTAAATTGTAATAAATTGAGCTGTGGTTGTAAGAATGATTGTCGTGACTGTTTCAACCAAGGGGAATATTGTCATTAAATTTTCATTATGATTCCTATAATGAATTAGTAAGTCACGGTTATAATTATTCAAGACTGTGTTATTTATACATGACATGTCAAATCTCTCATACTTCCATGTTGTATTATTTTATTATTTCATTTAATAGGACCCTTTTGCAAAAATTATGTCTACTCATACTAGATCTGAATCATCTCAAAATATATTATAGGAGGGACCAAGTAGGTAATTCACTTTCACAAATATTTCAACCTGTTTTCAACTATTTTCCTCGCCGTCATTTTCTAAAACATTTTTTCTCAAAACATGGCTCGAGCATCGACCATACGTCTGAATTGTTCATGGATTACGATTTTTACCCAACTAACTTGTTTCCTAGGCTAGAATAAATGACATACAATTGTTATACGGCTGCCTAAAAGAGTGTAATTATGACACGAGATAGTGAGGTGACAAAAATATAATCCTTGTTTTCAACTCCGTTTATCAGAGAGAAAAATCTCTACTCGAGCTAGAAGAACGGAAATTTATGTGTATTGAGAAGATTTCCTTCTAGGTTATGGGTGGCTAGGCATATAGGCATGACTGTTTGTCAACGTTAGGCCACCACACCGATTATCCATTGGCTGTCGCTCTTTCATGTGGAAGATAACGACCTCTCAGCCATTCCTTACTTAAAAGCACTTGCTTTTTGTTGCATTAGGAGACGACTATGGGAGACACACCTAATCTACCTCACTTCATTTCTGTCTATAAAGACATAGCAAGTCAACTAAGAGTCCTATTTTTTATTAACCCAAACTCTCTCTCTCCTCTTTAATCTTCTTTTTCTCTCCGGGTAGAGTTGATGGGGATCTCACAACGATTGGAGAAAGGAGCGAGTGTCAATAAGGACACTGGGCTCCGAAGGGGGGTGAATTGTGATGTCCCACATTGATTAGGGAGGAGAATAAAACATCATTTGTAAGAGTGTGGAAACCTTACCCTAATAGACGCGTTTTAAAGCTTTGAGGGAAAGCTTGAAAATAAAAGTTCAAAGAGACAATATCTACCCGCTAAGGTTGGAAGGTTACCCAAAAAAAAAAAAAAAAAAAAAAAATTCATATAATTTATGGAGGGGTGCGATTCATCATGACCCTCATGCTTTCTCCCTCCTTTTTGCACCCTTTTCATATGAAAAAAGTTACCTTTTTTAATACTCCAACTTCATCATTTACTTCAATCACAAGCATCTTAGCAGAGGATGCTCTTCTGTTCATCAGCTTTTTGTTTAATATAATGTAGGAAACCATGTTGTTCTTCCTGTTTATGTGTGTTATCTTTGTTCTCTGTCTTCACTTTTTGTCATTTTTTTAGTGCTTATATCGTTTAAGGATTGAGTGATGACTTGTTTTGGAAAAATTAAACCAGTATAGATGAACTTCTAAAATAATAAAAACTCGATCAACTCTATTTTAAAAGTTGTTAGACCTCAATTAAGCACTTCAAAAAGGGTGAGATTTCACATCGGTTAGAGATGGAACGAAAATTTCCTTATAAGGGTGTGTAAACCTTTATCTAGTAGACGCGTTTTAAAACGGTGAGGTTGATAGTGCGAGTCAAAGGACTTGGACTGATATAAGTAGTATTAGAGTCAGAAACCAGACACTGTGACAACAAAGACGTTGAGCTCCCATGAGGTGGATAATGAGATTCCACATCGGTTAGAGAGAGGAATGAATTTTTTTCAAGGGTGTGGAAACCTCTCCCTAGTAGATGCGTTTTAAAATGGTGAGATTGACGGTGATACGTAACGGGCCAAAGCGGACAATGTCTATTCGCAATGGACTTGAGTTGTTCCAAATAGTATCAGAGCCAGACATTAGACGATATACCAGTGAAGACACTAGGCTCTAAGAAGAGTGGACCGTGAGAGTGGAACCACAAAAGGTTACAGATAAGCAATTAATACTAAGTTAACAAGTTTTTAAGGTGGTTGTGAGTAAAAAAGAAGAAAAAACTTGGGACAGAGGAGCTGCTAAGCTTATGATTTGACGTGTGTTAAAAAGGGGTTCCAACTAGAACAAAAACTGTCGTTTTTTCCTTCATTCTCTCCCACTACCTTTTCTCCCTTTCTACAATTTCCTACCCACTCTCCATAAATACAACTCCCCCTCTTCTATCAGCCCAACTGTCACCACCAGTCCTTTCATTCTTCCTTATCCTCCTCGAACTAAACCATATAATCACTATAAATCTCAACTTCATTCCTTAATTCCCTCATAGTTTGTTCAAAGATTCTCATAACTTTCATCCCAACATGTTTGGCATCTTCTTCGGCTGGCGAAAAGCTTCCAAATGGTAATGAAAATGTTGCAGACTTTCAAGCTTGTTCTTGTTACATGGGTTTGTCCTTTTGATTTGCCTGTCTTGGCTGCAGTAAGAAGCTGATCAAACAAGTTCAATGCCGCCTCAAGCTGCTGAAGAACAAAAAGGGTATAATCACGAAGCAAATGAAGGAAGATGTCGTGCAACTCATTAGAAATGGGTATGATCAAACCGCCTTCAACAGGGTACGTCAAAAACCAACCAAATTGTTTCAAAAGCTTCGAACTTTGATCAAATTGTTTAATTCCAAAGAACACCCATGAATTAAAATCCTCTGTTTCAGGTGGAGCAGATAGTAAAAGATGAAAACAGAGTGGCGGCGTATGAAATTTTGGACAATTTCTGTGAATTCATACTCTTAAATCTATCTTATATACGCAAACACAAGTACAGTTTTTACAGTTTGATTCTCGAATGAATTCATTAGCTTTTTGAACTGTTTCTTATTACCAAGATTTGGTGTCGTGTTTAGGGACTGTCCCAATGATGTTAATGA